CAAGAAATAAGAGCAAGAATAGTCACCATAAATCAAAGAGACTTCTTGCACCAAGAAAGCAAGATCTTGTGACATTTCTTGCGCAAGATCTTGGGCAAGAAAGCCCTCGCAAGAAAGTCGACTAGGGTTCCAAGGATTCTCCAGGATTTCTTCGGATTCCCTTGGATTCCCTGGAACTTTTCCCCAAAACAGAATTAAATGTTCTGTTTTCGGGAAAAGTTTCCTAAAATATAGAACACTATTGTTCTGGTGCGGGAGAAGTGTAGAATCCCGGATTCCACCAGATTCCATCGGAGTTCACCAGAGCCCACCGGATTCTACTAGATTCCATAGAATTTCAGAATTCCGTGCTTTCCCCCTTGCACTGAGGTCATCTTGCTGCCAAGTTAAGTAATAGAGAGAAAAAGTACCCCATCGGCATTGTTTCTTCGGCTATTCTAGTGACTATCGTACTCTTGAACAGACGATAATGGTAGTTTTGAGTCAATAGAATAAACCAGGTTTGTTTGCTACAAACCTACAAGGTAACGCTCGTCTGAAATCTGATCGGTTCTTTAGTTTAAGCAACTTATGAGCACTAGTTTAACTTAGCTTGCTAATCTAACATAAACCTAAAAAGTTTTCTAGAAATAATAGGTTCTCGGGAAAATAAAAATATTTCTTATCAGCTCTCCATGATAGATTATCTATATTCTGTAAGTTTCACTATTCGCAGATGATTTCTCTCGCGTTATCAAAATTGCAATAATTTTCATACTTAAACATTAGAATTGAAGGAGAAATATTTTACACACGGACATCTACTTTTTGACCCTTAATGTTAGGATAACTCTTGAAAAACTCAATGTTTCGAGTTCAAATTTCTATTATCAGCTGTCTAAGGTAAGTACACATTCTATGAAAATTTCATTAAGATCGGATGTTTTGGAACAAAAATAGGTTTCTGATAGGGTGGAACCTTAAGGACACTGGAATGTCTTACGTCATGCATCAAAACTACATCTGATTTACATGGATGAATGCATCCAAGATACATTGACTAAGCACCCACCATGTCTCATGCAGACACTACATGTGCATAAAACTAGAATGTATGCGCGCCTTCGTAAGTCAGCGTAACGCATCTTTTACATGGAAATTTATTCTTGTTGTTCAAAAATGCGGTTGTCTCTAACAGATTCAGTTCAGATTCGTCGACACTGTATTTAATTTTTCTACTTCGTCGACATTTTAGAATGCTGGCGCTCACATCTTTCATCTTCCCCTCAAATGTTGTCGACAAGTCAGGAAAAAAATTAATGAGTCGACGAATCAGGACGAAACTCTAAAACGTCTAAAGTGCATTTTAAATTTTTTAAAGATGCATCTCTCTTTTCACAGTGTACCTGTACGTTCAAACAGCAAAACATTATACAATATTCGTCGAAATTAGAATATTTCAGCAAAAAACGCGATGGGCGTAAAAGCGCGCATTCGGTATTAAATAAACAATGCAGAGAGCTAGAGATCGGCGGTTTTTAACTTTCAGAAGAGAAGAGTTGACTGCATCTTTTTAAAAAAATTTTAAAAGTAGAATATACTCTATTTTAGCTGCTTTACATTTTTGATCAACCTAAAAGTACTATACTTTCGAAGAAAACGTTGATTTCTTTAAGGTATTTTTTTGGAAAGCTTCTGTAGTGCACTCAGAGTCTTTTCGCACGTAGAGCACTTCAGGGATGTAAAGTAACTAAAACAGAGTACTGAAGGACGAGCTTTTGAGCCTAAACGACAAAAAATGAAGAGGTCGGATGATTTTTATTTATAGGGCTGACCTACTTACAAAAAGATTTTTAAAATTTTTCCTCTTAAAAAAAATACGCTCAAATTTCCTCTGTCGAATGTCAAACATCACATAGCTCTAGCACTCTGCTGACTGGCGGATCCAGCGAGTAGTACGAGCGTCTGGTATTTTTGGAGCTAAAAATAGATTTTTGTTCAGTGACACTGCCTCAAAAAATTGTGTTTCTATGGCAACCGCACGCACTTCATACTTCACTTACCCATCGCATGTACCTTAGAAAAATTCTTAATCCGCCATTGGCTCACCTATCTGAAGTAATTCAGAAAATGACCATGATGGTTTAATTTTTGGACAGACAACAGATTAATTGGCATGTTTTATCTGAGATTCGCCCTTTGCGAAACCCCTTCAAAGGTTTTACGATTTTTAACATGAAATATGAATGATCTGATATGTCTTACCTTTGCTGCATTCTCTAAATTTCTATTATCCAATGGCTGTTTAAAAAAATCTTTCACAATAGGTAAAATGTCGATCTGAAAAGAAAAGAAGCAATCGATTAAAGAAGTTGTCAATTAGAGAGGTGCATGGGTACCGTTTTCGTACCCGTACGTGACCCGAAAATTTTTTTCCATCCATACCCGACCCTTTCCGAGAACTTTGTATCCGTACCCGACTTAGGCCTAAACATTTTATCCTTTTCGTTTTCCAGCTAGAAACTTTTGTTTTTCGGCTGAAGATGACAAATTATCGTTACATTCTCAAGTAACTGTTGTTTAAAACTTCATGTATTTCAGCTAAAAGCTCGCGTTTTTTTCCACCAAACTTTTGTGGTTTTCCACTAAAACCTTCCGGTTTTCGGGTAAATAAAAAAGAAACGGAACCTGTACCCGTACCCACCCTTCGAATAGGGTCGGGTTGCACATCTCTATTGTCAATATACAGGTGTTGTAATTGACATAACAGTTCTAGTCGGAATATAACGTGTTACTAATGTTACTAATGTATTCATTTTACTGCTCTTATCTATTAATACTTATTAGTAATTGTTTCAGTTCTTCAGTACACAACTCCAGTTATAGAAGGAATATCTTAATACTTTCGGTTCATTGTGTTATTTAACTGACGGAACTTAGTGAGAAATGTATGATTTTTTAGGAGGAATTTATGCTTTCGATAATCTCTAAACGATTTTAGGTGTTCTCTGCATTTTTACTCAATTACAAGATGCAATGTCCGTGTGGCTATCCGGATTTCTGACCTTCTTCCAGATCATCTGACTCATACAGCATATTTCAGAAAATCTTAAATGATCTTACTCATACTACTCTGCCTTTATCCTAAAGATCAATAGATTTCAGACAACAAATCGCGTCTTAATTCTCCCGTTTCAATCAGTGGTGCTTTAGTGAATCGATAGATGAACATTAGTTCTCCATTACCTACCGATAATGTTTTGTAATATGATTTATCGAACATGTATTTTTCCGTCGATCCACTTGTATCAACTGCTTGTAAAAACGACTGATATTCCACAGATTTTGCATTATTTCTAAAAATATTTGATTGTTTCATCGGGCATGTACTTTTAGTAACAATTATTCTTTGATGAAATTTAATCTTTGAATGCTCTCTTCTTAGTCAACGTAGGAAAGAATAGAAGAAGAAGAAACAGATACTCACTTTTTACGAGCTATTTTACACCAATAAACACAAAATAAAATTAAATTGGCACCACGACGAAATTTCTTATACAAATATGTTCGAATAATAGGCTAAAATGAGAAAAAGCGAGAGAGAAAAATAAGAGCTGTTGGAACTTTCTGTGATGATGGAATAAAAAAAGAAATTTTGAAACTGCAATAAAGGACATCTTTTTTTCTTCCCCTTAGAAAGCACACTATGACGTCAAAGGTGTGAAGTTTTCTTTCTCTTTTTAAAAAGAAAATTTAAATCTTGAAAGCCGAAAGATATTTTTCTTCGATTAATTTCTGTTTCCGCATCTTTTCTTTTTTTTTGTTGCCCTATTTAAACTTTTACTTAAGTTGAAAAGGTGTGTATTAAAGTATAATAAAAGTGTTGTATGTCAAATCTTTTAGTAAATATAGGTTAAGTTAAAACATGTTGAAGGAACTTGATTCAAATAGGCATTACTCATCGTTCATGATAGTTTTCAGTTTCCAGAAATGGTATGAAGAAAAAAAACTATGTGAAAAATAAATTGTGGTAATCTGCTAACAGATGTAACCAGCAGAGGCTAGGATATGGATGTTTCTGATTTTATTTTCTCTTATTTTTATCGATTAAGAACGATGTTCACTGTAAAAGTTTAGTCCAAATTTGACTCGTTATCATCATGTTTTAAGCTAATCAGTTTGAAATTCTCACCATAGTACAAATTAAACTATTATTACTAAAAAATGTTCACCTTGTAGAATTTTAAATTCTTGTAATAGGGAAGAATACAATTTCTCTATGATTGAAATTAAAACTTTAATTAATCCTATTATATTTCAAAATTATAACTTCTTGTACCACACGTACATCGCTATATTACACAGTTTAGATTTCAAGATAAGCTTTTATACGTAGAAGAAAAACTAGGATTTTGTATTTTGATGTTTTCATGGTCTGTAAACAAAATTGGAAAATATTCAAATAGAACTACAACGTGCCGAAAAATTGATCGTACAGTAGAAGAAAGAATTTTTGCGAACGCATTTTCTTACGAAAGAACGCTGCTAAAGAAATTATTGTTTTATTAATAGATACAGTAGAGTCTATACTACATTTGGGCATAAGTACACGTTTTTAAACTGGTCTCTTGGTATTCAAAAGAATTTTTTTAAAATTATCCTTGTTTTGTGAAACGAATAATTAACCATACACTTACTTGTCTCTAATTTTCTAGACGTTTCCCGAATAGATGAATCTTTTATTTTTATAACATTCAAAAGAGAATTTAATGCGCTACAAGCCTAATCCAAATATGCCATTCGATAAAATGATTACAGTACAGATACGAAAATTTCTCATTTCAGAAGAGTGCAAGAGTGAAATCAACTATTGTCGCTGTTGCATGGATCTTATACAATTAAAATATGATTTGCACAAATGAAACCTAACAGATGATCCTTTTTGTGAGTGTGGAGAGATTGAGACCATTGAACACTACATACTACATTGCCCATCTTATCAAAATGAATGAAATATTTTATTTAGTAAAATATTTTTTGCTAAATATGATTGTTACTCCTCCCTTACTACTCCTACCCAAAGATAATATTATTCAACTAATTGATTTAGTAGAAATATACAAATTGATGGTAATCTATATTAAAAATATTTGAACGCTTTATAAAACATGCCTGACTACTTTCTTCTTATTTAATTATACATACCTTAGCAGCATTTTCTTCTATTTTTGTTTTGGATGTGTCGTTCATCACTTCTTTATCTTATTTTAATTTACTTTACTTTCATGTACTTTCTCTCTTAGCTTATCAGTTGTCGTTTACCTTTCTTTACTCTTCTTATTGTCACTTTCCCCTCTTTCTCCACATAGCATACTTATATTGTCCACTTAATTGATACTGTAACAGTGCTGAAGGAAGTACGTTGTGCTCTTTACCATTTGCTTTACTTTTAAAATAAATTGCTTGAAATCGGAAAAAAGAAAACTGCGTAAATCAGGTGTATTTGAGGAAAACTTTTTAGGCTAATTCTTAATCGGGAACAGATCTCTTAAAATTTTTAACTGAAGATCTGATTTTAAATAGCTGTTTTCAACCAGAAAATAAAAAGTACAATTTTCTTGAAGGACATAGTCTTATAGAGAAAAGAACTCTCCACAAGATAAGACGGTTCTATCTTTGTGCACAACAACTGTAAACGAGTTGTACGTGCGTGTGATAGCCTAAGATTCTGAATAATTTTACAAACAATACGAACTACCTCTCACTGGATATAAAAAATTTACATTTTCCGATTGATATTAACCTCATATTCAATCAAACGATAATTTCTAATAACGAAATACTAGATTAATTGTCATTTCAAAGAAACCAGAGACATCAGACGTCATCAGCATGTTTTAAGCTAATCAGTTTGGAATTCTTACCGTAGTACAAATTAAATCATTATTACTATAAGAATGTTCGCCTTGTAGAATTTTAAATTCTTGTAATAGTGAAGAGCTAAATTTTTCTCTGATTGAATTTTTAAAATTGCAATTTTCACTAGGATATTTTTGACTTTACTTTTGAAAAAAATCATAACCTTTTGACAGGTAGTTATGAACAATTTGTTTAATAATAAAAGTTAACATATCTTTATTTATATGTTTACTTGTCACTTTTCGAATATAATTATCGTTTTGTAATTCTATAACTTACGCGTTCTTTTGATTTTCCAATAAGTGATCGGATGCTTAAAGTTGATTCTCTATCAACAGTTGATGACGATACACTAATTTCATTATTTGGTGTATTATTTTGAAAGTGATTAACAGTTGAGCGATCACTACCCGTACGCGAATCACTTTGAAACGATGTACATACACTTGAACCGCAACAACGATTATAAGTGAAACGATGGGGAACAATTCTTAATAGAACTTCAAAAATTGATCTTATTGGTTGAGATTGTCGTTCCAATTGGCTTTTTGAGCGAAATGTAAATACTCGTTCATCATTAATAATAGGAGGAGACATCGTTATATCACCTTGAAACATTATTTTTTATCTAAAATTGGATCTAATCAGATTAGATACAGATAAAAAATAAACAATTGTATATAATTTAAGAAGCACCTTAATTTTGGAAAAGAAAATTCGTTATAAAGACTGCTGTATTAACTTACACAGTGGTTTGTAAAGGTTAAAATTTCAATTCTTAAAGTATTCAATTTTGGAGCATTAAACAAGATTACCTACACTGATAATGATAATCTGTTAAATTTATTTTTAGTAATATTGTTCCTTTTTCTTTTGTTTTTCAACTTTACGATTCATAGTTACACTGTCAAGAGTACCAGTTCTTACGAAAATACTTCACTATACCTTAACCATATAATACAGAGATATTTTGTAATTACCGCGAGATTGAATTCATGAGTGTTTCATGAAGTTGTTTCATAGTCCAATAATCGCTTATTGGATTACAGATTCATTGAAGAAAGGAAAAACATCAAAACATTGGTACAAATTTCTTTATATATTCGCTCATTTTTTATTTTTCAAGTTTTATTAGATACACGTATCCACAATAAAAAAAAGAAGAAAAGTTAGTAGCAGGAGAAAAAAAATGATTATAAATTTTTTTCTTTTTTTTTAAAGTGTACATTTGAATGTGACAAACAACAACAAAAAAAAGTTTCGATAATAATTTGATTTATGCCTGTTTAGAGAAAGTGGACACTTGAAATACAAAAAAAACGAAAAACGAAAAAGATTATATAAAATATCCTTTTCATTCAAGAATATTCAGAAAAAATAAAACAAAACAAAAGTGAATGATGATGATAATTCTACTAGTTCCGGGCATAATCGAAGAATCTTATTCCAGTACGTTTATGCCTTGTAGTAGTCAAAAAACGTGAATACACGTTGTAGTTCACCATTATGCTTATTGCACGATATGGTGTTTTCGTGAAGGAGAAAGAAACGTTAATTAACTGTTTGCTGAAGTATGAAGTCATACAAGTTAAACACGAAAAGACACCTTTAAATAGCATTTCAATTTATATATCTACAAAGTGAAAAGTTGATTACTTTAAATAAACAGAAAAACACGGGAACTTGACAGATTACAGAGTACTCATTGGTGACAGAAAAACAACCATTAAGGAGACCCTGCAATCACTGTTTATTGTCTGTGGCAATAAATTATGATTGAATAACAATTGGAAATAATAGAAGCTAGATCAATGAAAAAGAAAAATACTCATTTACTTATCTCGATCGAGCCTCAGTGAGGGTTCCTTACTAACGAAATTCGTCATATTGCTATGGTAAATACGAGCTTAAAGTTTTGAAATAATAAATCCTGAAACATCTACTCAGAGAATTCCCTTTATAACACAGGTCTTTCTGTAACGAGTTTTTCCCAATGTCTTTGAGTGAGATCTCAACCGAAGTTTTTAGTATTGGCCTGATGAAGCTTCTCACGATTGTCCATCCAAAAAAAGAATGACATATATGTATGTATTTTGAATAACTCGAAAATGGACAGAGCTTGAGGAACGCAACTTTCACTAATCGAAAGAGGAGCGTATGTGGCATCTTTTTGCAAGTGAAAACTTTTTCAGACAGCTTTTCAAAATATTTCTTTTTAATAGATCTTTGGAAAAATTCTGCGTAAGTCGGAAACTTAAATAGCAAACTATTGATATTTTTTCATCACTAGATAGCAAAGGATGTTTTCGTCACAAGGAGTTATAAGCAAGATTTTGAGAATGAGTGGTTTGATCGGAATTCAGGTTTTTCTAGAAGTCTCAGAACCCCTACTTCCTTGCGTTTGGACGTCTCAAAAGCACGTGAACCATAAGCTATCCACCATCCTGAATCTCATGGTAATGTTCGTTTTATTCCCAGAGTTGAAGAGAGCCAGTGGATCGGGTTTTTCAAAAAATAAGGTTTTGGCGCTTGGATCCTTCTACAATAAAAATGCTAGAACCCGGCTATTCTTAATCGGACATACTTCAACCTATAAGAAAGACTCAAATCTAATTTTCAAGATCTCACGTATTAAAAATTAAAATAAAAGTGAAAAAAAGCGAGATTAAAATATTCATAGTTAACAACAGAATGATTATTTTTATTCGACAAAAATTATAATAATATACTCTCGGAGTAATGCTGCCATATATAAGAGCAGGAGAAGCGTACGTTCCGCTCCTCTCGAATTGTCGATTGTATGCATGTCGACTCTGTCACTACATTAATATATTCTTCGGCTATAGAGTTTCTACGAATCAAATTTTTTCAAACATCGTGGTTGACATTTTCGTGGAAATAGGTGAGAAAAAAAAGAACTGTGAGCCGATAGCAATCTAAAACACTCGAGGTCACACAGGTAGCCTCTCCGCTACTATATGTATATAATACAGGCTGCCGAATAGCTAACTAAAATATTCATGGGAGACATGCGTTACAAAGCCTAGACATTGTAGTACGAGTAACTCCATCGTAACCATCAATGAATTTTAAAAAAAATTAATTGAAACCGTTGTTTTTGTTATCTTGTTTTGATAAATCGTTCTTATATCCGAAATTAGTTTTGCTAAATGGAGTAATAATTATGGTAAAGTACCGTTTATATCGAGTTCTCTTAGATCGATTGTTATCTATCAAATAAATTGAACTGACAACAAAGGGTGAAACCGAACCCACAATTATTGATATAATCTAGAAAAAATTTTTTAATTAAAAGAGAATACTGTTTCTGGTTATGAGTGCACATATTATCACGATATTATCACGAAAACCCAAGATAAAAGCACGATAATATATGTTTTTAGCTAATAAAAGACTTTGGCCACTCATAGCTTGCCAGCGACGATTTTACCCGTTTTCAAGGGTCCTTGAGTACCTGAATACCAATTTCACCACTACATCTGAATTTTTCTAACAGTGATGATCGAAAAGACCACAAAAGGTTCATATATTCCACCAGAAATTTACTTTTTCCTGATCATTTTTAATACAAAGGTTTTTCCATGAAAAATTTAGCCGTCACTGGCCAAAATTACGTTTTAATTCGAGAAAAATTCATCCAAAGATTGAGAGAAACAGCTTTATTTTAAAATGAACAGAAAGCAAGAACAAGCTCAAAAATACTTACCGATTAGCTCCAAAACTCCACCATCCGAGACCTACTTTGTGAGCTGTTTCCACGAAAACTACATGTGAACTTTTCGAGATATTGTTATCTTAGATACTATTTGAGTAGCTCAGTTTTACAGAAATCATCGTCAAGATTTTAATTTTATATTTCATGAAGAACCAGCTTTGATCTCAGATTCGTGTTTAGACTCAGAAATACTGCACAGTTCAGTGTTTTCTACTCTTCTTGAGGCTACTTGGAAGTCCAGGTTTTTACAAAGCTTTCTGAAAAACCGACCCCAAAAATTTGTTTAGTCGAATTTGAAACTTGACAGCTTTTGTAGAGCTACTCGAATAGTATCTAAGATAATAATATCTCGAAAA